CTTCCAACAAATCATTTCAATTAATTATTACATTTTAATAATGCACAAAACATTTTAAATGCATCATTTTTTGCATAACATTCACTATGTACAGATGCATCACATTTGTGACAGTAAAATTTTACTCTCATGCATCAAATTTGATTTTGAGGATGCACGATAACTAAATATATAATCAGTTACCTTAGTTCTGAAAATGCATTATCTTCTTATACAAGTGCATTATCTTGATTCTCATAATGCACAGTAATAGAAAAATCAAATAAAAAAAGGACATATCAAAAGAAGATATACTAGTACATCATAAAATGTGCAGCATACAAGCAAATTTTGAGATAACAACTCTTTCAGCAACTTCTTTAACAATGTCCATCTTTGTTTGACAATCAAACAAAGAGACTACACAACACAACCAACTGAAGTCCAATGAAACAAGAGACTACACAACACAACCAACTGAAATCCAATGAAACAAGAGACTACACAACACAACCAACTGATGTCCAATGAAACTGATGGAGGACATGTCGAGTAATAGAGTCAACTGAAAGGAATGTGCAACAAAATCAGGGAGCAGCATCCCAAGATAAATACAATGATTAGAGCTCTCCTTAGAAATACCATGCCTATGAAGTTATGAACCCTCTAGAGACTAAACTCCACATGTCACTATTAGAAAGTTCAATTGCACCAATCCCAATCACCATCAGCACAACCATTAGACTTCCATCAACATATTCTCTATTCAAAATCATATCAAACTTACCAAGCAACAAAAAATCAATCTGCAACCAAACAAAATTACACCATACGAGAACAAACACAAGAACATATGAAAAAAACATCATTGGTAGTAAACGAATGGGATTACGTTTAAAAATAGCCAACAAATCAAATTTTGAAAATAAAGAGTAAGTAGAAAGAATAAACAACAAATTAGAAACTAAAAAGATACACACTAGATGCATTATTCATCTACTCTAAAGTGTGGGCTACCGGTGTTGCCCAGCTTTCAATCGTGCGACATATTTTCCAAAGCGACGCAGTAGGTTTTACTACTCTACATGTTTTATACATCCCAATAATAACAAAGTGTACACCACCTCAAGCACGAACCCATCAAACTTATGGTCCATCCCTCACAAAAAAAAATAATTAAAACGTTTCTTACATCATTATAGAGTTACAACCTCAAACAAAGTCGATCTCTTTAAAGAAGCTAGAAATAGCATCAACATTTAGCAAACAAAGAAGAGCAATCACAAGGTTAAGTTACAAAATATGTATTGCAAATTCTATATAATGTACTGAATATTTCATATAATGCATACTGTGAGTATTTATATAGCATTGTAATAAATCATCCTTGTTATGCACCTCAAGGAAAAAAGCAACACAAATATAAGGTGTGATGATGTGTTTTTTGCACCATAGTATTTTTAAGTATGCATACAACAAATTGTGGAGAGAAATGAGAATGAAATCTAGCCATTGGATCTGATGCATCGTGCGGCTCAGATTGCATCCTGCGCTCAGATTTTGAGATAGTGCATTTTCAAAGGATTATGATGCATTTTCAAACCATTTTGTTGCACTTAATTTTGATGCAATCCTGACCCTTAGATCACACAATCTAAAGCACCAGATTCATTCTCATTTCTCTCCTAAGATCGCATTCTCACCAGAACCAAAATCTATATATACATATATATATATATCTATGTATGTATGTATGTATGTATGTATGTATGTATGTATGTATGTATGTATGTATGTATGTATGGTATGTATGTATGTATGTATGTATGTATGTATGTATGTATGTATGTATGTATGTATGTATGTATGTATCAGGAACATCATCAGAAAGAAGTCACCCACCAAATACAAGAGAAATGGATGACCCCTACATAAACATAAAATTTATCCCTCCATACAAATTACAATTCAAGGATGATTGCACCTATTGCGGAGCACGCCGATACTGCAATGAGCCACCAACATTTTGCTGCGCCAAAGGTCAAATTGTACTTGCAAATCAAGAAACACCAGTACCATTACGCAATCTATTTTGTGCAGCTGATGACCTATCAAAACATTTTCAAGTGTGCGTGAGAACATACAACAACACTTTTGCTTTCACTTCGATGGGAATTCATAATTATGCATCAGACTTGTGTCGCCGAAATAAGGGCATCTACACATTCAAAGTGCAAGGACAAATATACCATTTCATCAATGACATGCTTCCAGATGGCTGCCCTCCGAGAAATTTGCAGTTGTACTTCTATGATACAGAAACAATTTCACAAGAAACCATGGCCTACCATGGGACAAGGCTGGACAAGGAAGTAATAGATGTAATTCTCAGTACTCTTGCAGAAAATCCCTATGCAAAATTCTTCCACAGTTTGAGGGATATGAACACAGTAGAAGAATTTAGCGTTATTCTTAAAAAAAATCCCACCCTTGACCAAAGAGTATACAACATGCCCACCGCATCACAAGTTGCAGCCATTTGGGTAGAAGACGATGGGAATGGGATAAGTGAAAACAGGCACATTTGAGTCTATGCAAAAGGCGGCCATTCACAAACCATTCAATATTATTATGGATGTTATGACCCTCTTCAGTATCCCCTACTGTTCCCCCATGGTGAAACAGGTTAGCATGAAGGCATTGAGAAAAGAAACACAGGGCTAACACCAATGACAAATGAAGCTACTTCCCACATAAATATTACATCAAATACAATTGGAAGTGCAACAGATCTAATAGAGGCAGAAGAAGAGCAGTTTACAGAAGGTATACAGAAGAAAAATAGAGTATCAAGTTTGAGAATACTATGCATACAAGCTACAAATGCGGCCATTGAATGAGACATTCTTACTCCATACAGGAAGACTACTACAACAATTTGTAGTTGATATGTATGTGAAATTGGAAACACAACGCTTGGACTACTTCAGACAAAAGCAAACAAACCAACAAACATCTACACTAAATGATTTGGAACAAAGCATAGAGATGGGTATACAATTTGGAGCTGATGTTGGAAAACGGATTGTCCTACCAGTAACTTTCATTAATGGCCCACGAAATATGCGACGTAGGTACATGGATGCTGTTATTAGTAATAATATTAGTATTTTAGTTAAGTCCTGAGAATATGGCAGGATCTGATCTGGCCATTAATATGGGTGATTTAGGCATTAATATGGGAGATTTAGTTTCCTTATATTAGCACCCTTCTTATGTATATATAGTCATGTTGTATTATGTAATAATGTATAATGAGGAACACCTCTGATTATCAATCACATGGTATCAGAGCCAGTGTGCTCTAGGATTAGGGTTCATTATTTGTAAAAAAAAAAGGGCTTCTGCCATTTTGACGCTGTCTCTAAGGGTGCTCGCCTGACGTCACCGCCACCGTGGGTGGAGTCGCACATTGCAGGAGAACAATTCTGGAGAATCTCTCCTTCGTTGGAGACCTCACGCCCAGCCAGTGCTGGTCAGATCCACTGTCAAAAATCACTGTCAGGGTCGCCTGAGTCATCTAAGCACCTGTGCAGACTCAGTTTGGACATTCAGTGGGTGATTTTTGCTCTGTCTTCCTCTGCCAATCAGGTTTTGTTCAAATTTTAGTCCATTGAAATGGGTGATAAG